TGGAATTTTAGAAACAACCTGTCCAGCGGGCAGGAAGAGACTAGGAGGGAAAAAGTGAAAGGAGAGTTAAAAACGCGATCGGAGACCGTCCCCGTAAAATCAATTCGAGTTCTCCTTTTTTTGCCTACGAGGTGGTGGCGACCTCATCTTCTGTAAGGTAGCAGAAGCTATCCAAATTTTTGTATGAAACTTTCACATACGTTTTTCTGCAAGCAAAGAAGACAGGCGGACAAGGCTCTAATTTAGAGAAACACTTTTCCCTTTTTTATTTTTTGAAAAAACCACCATCCTTATTAACACTTTTTATCTCCCATCTGCAAACAAACATATGTAGTTTTTAAAAGGGGGTACAGGCATGCATGTCACTGCCATCCACCGACTTTAGGGCATGTTATAAAACTTTTAAGTCCTGGTTTGCCTCTCCTTCGCCAAGGGAATTACAGTACAACTCTATCTCTGTCTACCTGATGTGGGAAATTCATTTTAAAAATTGTGTTCACAATAATCATAAGGTGCTGCTTCTCTGGACATGTATTCTCTGGAATGCTAAGGATATTAGGGAGAGAACTGTGAAGTTTTTCCAGCCATGCTAAGCACCTTTATTCACCAGTCCCCGTGAGTTCGGTGGGAAATGCTCATCACGTCCAGCATGCAGCATTTATGGAATTTAGGAAAACAGATTTTTTTTTAAAAAAAGAGCAAATTGAATCAATTATCTACTCAGCAACTGGAAGTGGAAAAGTGTGAGTGAGTGAGTATGAGTGTGGGGTAGTATTAAAATAAAAACAGAGCCAACGCGTTTTCTTTCTCCAGGACTTTCCAACTTCCTATCTTGGAACAGGCTTCGGCTGTCACTGCTCCAAAATACAGTTTGAAAAAGCAATCTTAATGTAGATCTCCAGACGCTGGAATTCTTAGCTCAGAGAAATCTAGCCTCCTCCTTGATATTCGGCGTTTGTTCCTAAATAATGAGGTTTCTATGCCTCCCACTTCATAACGCAGCCAGGCCATAAGCGCCAGGCAGTGGAATGAATGGAGAGAGGCCGAGAGTTTCTTCCCTTCTCAAATCCTCTTTTTCCTTCGGTTCTTCAGCCCTCCCCACACTGGAAAGGGAGGGGAAAGGTTAGCCACCCTTTCTGGGAGCAGCTCTTCTCTTTGGTCAACAGAGGCTTTGGGGCGACTCTACCGCTTACCAGGCAGGCCCACCCAAAGAAAATGCCCAGCGCTCCCAACTTCGGAAGCGCAGCCCTCCAGTCTAGTTTTCGACACATCACCAGTTTCTCCACAAAGGTAGGATCGAGACTGAGAAGCGAATCAAAAGAAACTAGGGGAATAAGAAGAACAGGCGCCTCTGGAACAGGCGGTGGGGTGGGTAGCAGAAGAGGAAATAAACGTTTCCCTGGCAAGGCTGCCAGTTACGCGTCAAAAGCCGCAAGTACTCTCCCGCGGTTAGGCAGGCCGCTTCATGGCAAACTGGCTGAAATTTAGTGACGATCTAAAGTTTTAAGAAGTCCTGTTATTAACGCGCCTGGCACTCAACCTTCTTCATCTCTGGGCAGCTAGAGATTTCCCCTGTCCCAAAAAAGGAACTTTAAAAATGAGGTCACCATGAAGACTAGCAAATTGTGGGCTTGGGGAGATCACCCGCCATCCAGCCACCCACCCACCCACGCACAAAGCAAATCACACGCAAGATCTATGTTACGGAACTCCTCGAGGCCCTTTAATCTGGAATTAAGGTCACTAAAAGCAAATGGGATTTACTTTTTGAACTGGGAGAGCCGGGACCACGCTCTTCAAACACGGAAAATGTGCGCGCGCAAATCGCACGTCCACTTATTTAGCATCTTGAAGGATTTAAATAGAAAGTGAATCTGGGAGGGAGGGGGAGGAATAATCATAAATAATTGTTACTCTTTTTTTAACAGTGGACTGAGTAATAACTAAGTCGGTAAATAACTGACAGTGCCCCCAAGGCTATATCGCGGAGATAATTGGTGGCTTTTGAAAACGGGCCCTCTCTCGTCTAAGCCATTTAGAAAGGACCTCCTGCCCACCTTACCAAAATGGCATGAGATAAAAGACCAGTTCGAAATTATTCGAAAATAAGGATTGGCCTAGTCAGTGACCTCAAGAGGAAGCGGCTGCCCAGGTCTTGGTTTCTATCTTGGTAAGGGGTGGATAACAAAAAGAAGAACATAAACCCCAAGAGGCATCCTGCATGCAGAAACTCGACCAGGCAGAGCTGGCGCTTCCAGACGCTCTTTCTACCAGCTAATCTTCCAAGTGGGCCAGAAGCTCTTTTGTCACAAGATACCCGAGGCAAGATATTTAAGAGACCAGAAGCATCTTCCCCGGAACCACAGCCGCTAATACGCAGGGCTCCCCACACTCCCTAGCTAAGGCGAGAGTGTAATCAGAAGTCTGAACTCGGCCACGGCCGACCCCAATGATTTTCCGAGGCAGGCTGAACTCTTCAAGCCAATTCACCTTTTATAGGATTTGCCCTTTGTGCTTCCCGGCAGGTTTCCTTCTCGGCACCTTCTTGATCTACCGACATAGCCATGCTTGGAAGACTCAATCTCTGCCGTGCCTCAGTGGAGTCCTGACTTGTCTCAAGTTAGTATACCTCTCTCTTTCTCTGCTGGGATGCCCTTGAAATTTTTACTCCCACCCGGCCGACCTCCCCCCCCACCCTTCAGAAAGGCTCATTCCACTCTCCGGATTAAAAAAAAAAAACAGAAATGCCCTCTCTCCTGGCTGACAGGTATTTTCGCTCGGTTTGAGTCAAGGTTATATAAAAGCACCGTCGCTCCTGCCGCCCGGCAAAGTCGTGAGGGAAATTATACAGTAACTGACGCGTCAGAAAGAGAGAGTGAGAGTGAGTGTGTATGTAAAACAAAAGCAGCCTGTCTCTGGTTTAAATGAGGCCAAGACAGGCTGTGCAGAGGATTTGAGGCGCACCTCAAGGCGTAAACTGGGCCCAAGAAAACAGAATTTCTTTCTTGAAGTTACGTGTCGGGATGTTCAAACGAACCCGGACACAGCATCTCTTCACTTCTCCGGAGCGCCACATTCTCTTCTCGTAAAAACTCCCGAGGAGCAAGACTCCACATGCAAAAGGACTCGGGCCGATTCCGGAACCGGTCACATTTATTTGGGAGTAACTCCCAGTGACTGTTGACAACCGGGTCGACTCCCCCTCTTTCTCCAAGGTGGACAAGATTTACGCAGTTAATTGGAAACAATCCCGGCCGAGAGAAAAGGCGGCGATCTTAACATAAGGAAAGAATGACATTAGATCTTCTTACACCAGTCCGTCAATTCACCGCCCCTTCCTTTCCCCAATCATCTTTAGCCCTTCCAAGGGGCGATCCCAAACACCTCTTAGCCGGGAGAAAGCGCCACTGACTTTACTTCTGAATTTCAGGAATTGCCCCGAGCCTCTTTTTTTGCGGACACACACACACAGAGAGAGAGAGAGAGAGAGAGTCAGAGTCCGGCGGTCGCAATTCGTCCGCCAGAAGGGAAGGAAGGAGATCCGTGCAAGGAAACGCCATCCTGTTTTGCTTTGACGCAGCAGAAGTCGGCCTCGGCCACAAGGCGCCCGCTTGCCCCGTGCGGAGGCTCCGGTCTAAAGGCTGCAACTGGGGAAGAACCGGCGGACGCGGGACCCGCAACGCGCACAATACAACCCCCCTCTCCAACATTAAAGCTGGGGTGATGAGGCAGCTTTCCCAATGGGTATCTGTATATACGGAGATGAATTTTGATCGGGGTGTGCGTGTGCGTGTGCGCGCGCGAAGTAAAAGGTCGAAGAGCAAGAACTGTAAAGGGGAGGAGGGAGGGATGCCCGTTGCCGCAAAAGCTGCAGCCGAGGCTGCGTATGTGTGTGCCGGGCGGCCTGCGCGCCGCCTCTCCCCCCACTCTCGTCCAGCCGGTGCTCCGCAGCGGCACCTCGCAGCTTCTGCTGACGAGGCGGCCTGTCGCCTCCTGCCGCAGGGCCCAACTCGCTTCGCCCGCGAGACAGCGAATTTTGACGCGCGAAGGGCTGGGGCACCGCGAGGCGAGGCGGGGCCGGGCGCGGCGGGAGAGCCGCTCTGGAGAGGGAGTTCCTGCTCGGCCTTTCCTGAGCTGGGCGGGGAAGGCCGGGCCGAGGGCGGGGGTGTGTGTGTGGGGAGACTGGAGGCTTATCTGGTGCAAGGGAGGCCGGAGGGAAAGGCAGCCGCCGGAGCAGCCTTGGCGTTGCACAGACGCCGTGGCTCTCCCTCCCCGCTGGGCGTCATTTTCAAGTTCAGCTCGGCTCGCCCGCCCTCCTTCTCCGCCCCCCTCGCCAGAGCGGCCATTTTCCGCTACCTCGAGCCCGGGCTAAGCTGGCTGCTGCCGAGAGCGAACGAGCGTGTGCCATACTTTCGCCCCTCGCCTCCCGCCTCCTGCACAGATCTTACGCATTTCCCCCCCCCTCCCCAATTCCATGCGTAAAAGCGCACCGGAGAGAGGAGAGCTATCCAGACACTCCGCAGACGCAGCTCGCCTTGGGTCTCCGCTTCTCTCTCCCCCTCTCAATCTCTCGTTTCCCCCCCCGCCTCCCCCGCATTAAACTCCGACACGAGCAGCACTTTGCGGCAACCGGGGTGGGTGGTGGGGGGACGGGGAGAGACGGGTCTTCCTCGGGAGGAGGCACAATGGTTAAGAAGTGCACCGAGTCTCCGGCGCACTCTTAAAAGAGAAAGGGGGGGTCCCCACTTAAATCAGAACCCATCAACCCCCCTCCTCACCCTATGGGCGGTACAATCCCCCCCCCCAGCTTTACGGATCTGTAAAATCTTGAGTTTTTTCCTCTCGTTTTGCTCCCGGCTGAACTCCCCTCTCTTTGCCCCGATCCACCTGCCGCGGACTTTCTTCGTCCCCCCTCCCCGCCCTCCCTCCAAGAAAGCCCATAAACTTCTCTGGGGCCCCGCCAACCAAGCCCAAAGATTGGAAAGTGAGGCGAAACTTACCATCACCCAAACGAAATTGGTCAGGGCGGAGGAGCGGATTGATGCCAACGGAAGCGAAGCTTGGGGGCAAGGAAGAGTGGGCGCTTTTTTTTTTTAAGGTCCCACCAAGTTCTTTTTTTAAAAAAAAATGTATTTATGGAAGTCGAAGGGGGTCAAAATAGTGCAATCTTCCGTCCTTGCAGCGTTTGATCATCTCTCGGGCGCTTTGATCAGCGGGATTAACATCTTAAGGGGGAGGCAGGCAGGCTCGTGTTTTGGTCCCAGCTGGCGCCGTCCCCCGATGGAAAATGGGGCTAAGGAGAGGGGTGGGGGGGGTGATGATGTCCTTTTTGTACAGCCCCCACCCTCTTTATCTTCAGTTGGGGGGTAGTTGGTGGCTCACTTCGAGGATTAAATTCTTCCCGGGCTGGGGAGGGTTGGTGGATGCTTGTAACTCTAGAGCAACGCACAGAGGTCTTAATAAGGAAGAGGTAGCTGGTGAAACGGGGCAAAAGAGTAGTGGGGGGGGGGGGGGGGGGAGAGAGAACAGAGACACCTCACTTTTCCTGGGACGCCCCACCCTCAACGGGGAAGGAGAGGGAAATGGCCCCAAAAAATATTAAAAAATCTCTTCTTTCGCTGCCCAGTGCAGAGAGGAAACCAAGCTGCCTGTCAAAGCAGAGGTGATGAGGGTTTGTTCAGCACGAGAGGGAAAGCACCACAATATCATTTTCCCCTTTGCAAATAAAATACCGGGGATGGGGGGTGGGGGGAGAGGACACCCTCACATCATCTCCCCCTCCGGGCTAGCACGGCTCCCGCGGCACCCATGACCGACCTCTCCTGCTCTCTTCCTCCCCGCCCTCCCCCAAGTCGCTAGACTCCGCCCCTTTCTCCTCCTCCTTAACGTGGGGTGGGGGTGGGGGTGCTTGAATTACAAGGAGGAGGGGAGCCAAGGGGTCTGGTTAGCGAACCTCCCCTGCCGCCTCCTGTTGGCTTGCAAAGGTGATCCAAGGATGGGGTTTGTAGGGGGGCAGGAGAAAGGATGCTCACCCCCCCCAACCCCGAAGATCTAAACCGGGGATGGTACCCAGAGTCCTTAGGATCAAAGGAGCGAGGGTGGGGGGGAGAGAGGAGGAAGAGAGGAAGAAAGATAACATCTCCCCTCCGGTTGGAAAATTCTGTGCATCCGCTCTTTCGATTCGATTGAAATTACATTTTGTTTCAAAGAATAGCATCAGCGGATAAAGGGGACTGTACCCCCCCTCCCCAGCTACGCCACTGCAGGAGATAACCGCAGGAGATGACCCCTCGGGGACCAGAGGAGAGCACAGCTGTGGAAGCAATTAGGGGAAGATTTGGGTGGGGGAGGCAAGGGAATCCACTGGGTCTCATTCAGCAGAATAAGCCAGAGAGGCTGCAAGGATGCCCCTTCCTATTTGAAATACGCAAGGTTATTTTCTCCTAAGGGTGGAGTTCTTATAAGCGCATCCTTTCTCAATACAGAAAAAGGGTAAGTGTCTTGCTGCAGAGGTGGTCCTCGACTTTACAACCTTTGGTTAGTGACCGTTTGAAGTTTTAATGGCCATTTTTCACACTTGCAACCATCACAATATCCCCATGGTCACATGATCATAATTCAGCCTCTCAATAACTGACTCATATTTACGACAGTTGCAATGTCCGTCCCCCCCGGGAAATGTGATCCCGACCTTCTGACAAGCAAAGTCAAGGGGAAGCCAGATTCATTTAACAACCACGTTACTAACCTAACAACTTCAATGGTTCACTAACGGCTGTGGTGAGAAAGGTTATAATATAGGGCAAAACTCACTTAACAACTGTCTCACTTAGCAACAAAAAATTTGGGCTCAATTGTGGTCATACGTTGAAGACTACCTGTACAAAATATGGGCTCTTAACTCTGTTATTTGAAAAATCCCTTTTCTCTACACTGGGGTGTGAACTCTGGTTTTATCAGTAGTCCCTGAACATATTTATAGCACACAGCTTTACACATAATTTGACCCCTAACCTCTGAACCAGTATTAATAATGTGAAATAATACTGGAGTCATGCTGCAACTAGCGAGAAAGTGAGTTTCAACATTTTATGAAAACATACCTCTCTAGTCTCTTTTTCTTTACAGTGGACAATTTCATACATGGGGTTTAGAAACATGGAATGGAAATAGCAGTGTGTGTTGGAAAGGAACAGGAAATTAATGTCTGTATTATGGGGAATAATATGACTAAGTTGCTATTATGTTGGGCTAAGGACTTACAAGAAAGGCATGATTTAAATAGGCATTTGTGTAACCAGGGGGACAGATCTACTAAAGTTCAGCTCTGACCAATTATTTATGTTTTAATCCACCCATTCCTTTGGAGAACTGATACGCTGTTTTCAGAGCCAAAGAGGTATATTGCAGTATATAATTGAGAGAGCAAAGGGAACTGCTGGGATCATGCGTAATGTTCACAAATGTGACCTGTACAATCCTCTAAGTCAGTGCTTCTCCACCTTGGCAACTTAAAGACATGTGGATTTTAATTGCCAGAATTCCCCAGCCAGCATGCTGGGAATTGAAGTTCACCAAGTTGCCAAGGTTGAGGTAGGCTGCTTTAAGTCACATTGTGATAAGGTTAGTGTGTTTCCCTAATGAATAGTATAACCAAAGGATAACTAAGCAGCAAGCCATCGCTACTTTCAATAACCATAGCTTATTTTCCCATATTGCTGAAATGTGGATTAATAGTGATTTATGTTTAAGTCATAGAGGTGCATCACCTGAATCCAATTAGATTCAAAGGGATTCAGAAGATCAGTTCTATTTGATGTGGACAATTGGCTCATTTGTCTGAATCAGATCCAGTTTCAAGCCATCCAAATGTCCATATGCAGAAACTTGGTTGATCAAATCCATTCAAGTACATTTCATTCTGATTGGTGAATCAAATTAATCCCTTTGTTTAATTTGTGGAATTGCTAGCAGGGAAGAGAACATTTACTCAGTAGTATCAAGCAGTCCTCCTGGAAAACAATGCAGAAATTACTGCAAAAAAAATAGTACAAAGCAGAATTTTCTCTTTAGGTCCTAAGACCTGATATACGCAAACACATATGTGCAGTCATTACTGAGAATTCTAGGAGGAAGTTGACACACATCTTGTTGTGTGTGTGTGTGGGGGGGTGTTATTTGTGAAACTAGACTTTAAAAAGTTTAACTTTTACCACATATAGGCAGTAGTTCTGATCTGGATCAGCCTACTGTCCACAGGTAGTCCTTAATTTACACCAGTTCATTTAGTGACCTTTCAAAGTTACAACAGCACTGAAAAAATGACTTATGATTATTTTTCACATTCATGACCATTGCAGCGTGTCTATGGTCATGTGATCAAAATTCAGATGCTTGGCAGCTGACTCATATTTATGACGATTGCAGTGTCCCAGGGTCACTGATTCCCCTTTTGCAATCTTCTGACAAGCAAAGTCAATGGGGAAGCCAGATTCACTTAACAACCATATTACTAGCTTAACTGCAGTGATTCACTTAACAACTATGTCAAGAAAGGTTGTCAAATGGGACAAAACCCACCTAACAACTCTCATTTAGCAACAGAAATTTTGGGCTCAATTGTGGTCATAAGTCAAGAACTACCTATACTTGTCAGATAACAACAACAGGAAGTGCTATTCGGCCCTAAAATACAAAGATGCCTTGGTAGTGGACAGGGAGGACTTGTGGGTTGGACTAGAAGACCTTCAAGGTCCCTTCCAATAAACTCTGTTATTCTGTTCTGTGATTGCTTGTGCTGCAGAACGAGTATATATTCTTTACCATGGATAACACTAAGCAAGGCTTCCATGTTTGATGGAAACCTGCCCACAATTTATATTCTATATGGCATCTGTTTTCAGATCACACCCTTTAAGAAGGAGTCAGAGAAACTTGGACAGGTTCAAAAAGAAAAAAGCAAGAAGGAAAATCAGGAGACTGGAAACTAAGCCTTGCAAAGACAGATGGAGGGAACTGGGAGATGGGTTAGTATGGCTGCCAGCTTGTGGGATTCAGTTTTCAAACTGTGCTTGCAGGAAGCTGCTCTATGATAATCCTTGTGCTCCTGCATTTCCGAAGCACTGCTTTTTAAAATACTTTATTGTTATTCATACTTACATTCATTTTTATGCAAGGAAAGAGGAACGGGTGTTCAAAGATATGGTCAAAAAAATCAAAATGCATCACACAGGTAAAATGGGTAGCGTTTCAATTAGATTGCAATAAATATTATCTTGACTTTTTTGACCATACCCTGGAAGGAAGGAAGGAAGGAAGGAAGGAAGGAAGGAAGGAAGGAAGGAAGGAAGGAAGGAAGGAAGGAAGGAAGGAAGG